CCTCCGCAATGTCTTCCCGTGGAGTCTCCTGTAGTTTCAGGCACCCTTCCTTCCGACCCTCACCCGATCTATGTTTCTCTGCTCGTTTATTTTTTCTCTCTTTCTTCTAAAATTCGTCTTTTTTGCAGAGACCTTCTGACTGGCGGCTTGTCTCATCCGCCATCTTGGCTCCTCCAAGAACTGATGATGGTATTTTTTTTTTTATTTCAGCATATTATGGGGGTACAGATGTTTAGGTTACATATGTTGCCCTTGCCCCCCCGATGATGGTATTTTGATAGGGATTGCATTAATACTGTAGATCACTTTAGGTAGTATGAACATTTCAACAATATTGATTCTGCCAATCCACGAACATGGTAGGGTTTTCCATCTGTTTACATCTTCTACAATTTCTTTTCTCAGTGTTTCGTAGTTCTCCCTATCTAGGACTCTCATCCCCTTTGTTAAATATGTTCCTAAATATTTAATTTTCTTTGAAATGTTTGTACCCCCATAATATTCTGAAATAAAAAAAAAGAAAGATAGAAGAATGGGTCATGATGGGGAGGTGACAGGGTGCACCTTAAAAACCATAAGGTTCCTTAGTGTTTAGAGTGTGGGGTTAGAAGTGATTTCATCTGAGAAGACTGCAGGAGGAGTGGAGTTCCTTATGAAAAATCAGGTACCAGGAAGGACAAAGACACTGTACCAATCAGTGTGTTGGCAGGAAATGGATGGCACTTTCAAAAGTAGTAACAGAAAAGAGTTAATGAAAGACAATTCACAAAGGTGTGAATAGGCCAAGGGATATACAAAAGGGGTTTATCTATAGACACCCAGGGATGTCACAGCGAGGAGGGACAGAAGGGAGGGTGCTACCTGTGGGCCTGAGCGGGCAAGAGGAGGAGCAGTTACCAGGTCTCAGCAAGAGCGTCGCAGCAGGGAGGGCTGCCTTTGGTGGAGGATTGCAATCGTTGACAAACTAGCTTGGGAGAGAGGAAGCCGGGGAAATAAATACTCCGGCCTCTGTCTTCTCCTGCCCTCTCCTGCTGATGCCTCTCGGTGGAATCCACCCAGAGGCCAGAGAGAAAGGAAGTCTGGTTAGTGCAGTTCATGTAGAGAGGTCAGCCTCTCGTAGCACAGATGTGGGTGGGGAATGGATCAGGGGAGGAACCGGGGCAATCAACATTCAGCCCAGCAATGCAGATAGTTGTTCAGAGGCCACTCAAGTTGAGGAGATTTATAATGGAATAAGGAATCGAGGAAAGTCTCAGTGTCTCTGCAAGGAAGGTTCTCTTGGTCCCAAGAGAGCCAGCCTCTCCCAGTAACTTGTGGTGGTGGTGAGGTGCTCGGGAACAGGGAGTGGGAATGTTTAGTCTGTGCAATAACTCTTGGATTCGGCTGTTGCTTTAATCTCTCTAGTTTATGAATGAAATAAGAATTTTCCTTGGAAAGTTTTGCTCTTTATTCTGATCTCAGACAGCTTTGTATGAAGAAAAAATATTAAGGTTCTTAAAAACAGTTTTCTATATTTCAGAAACAAGTTGGCATTTGGGAGAAAATGATATTATAAGGTACTAAACTGTGGAAATGGCCACCTGTTGGTTGGCACTCCTAATGCTCATGAAAATTTGCTCCATTCATGATACTATTTCGAGCAGATTCTCTTTCACGTCTAGCCATAATTCCATTGCCATCTGGCACCTTGTTTTCCCCACAAACTAAGAATAGTTTTTAAATTTTTTTATATTTTCTTATAACCTGAAGTCAAATAGAATTAAAATTTTCCAAATACTGTGAACTAAGAAGTGAAGTTTGAGAGAGCAGGACAGTGCATGGTTGAGAGGTAGATGAGAGATGTTTTTGCTTTCTTTGGAAGCTCTTCTTTGTGTTTCTCACCTGTGCGGTTGCCCTTCTGACCCCAACAGGAGACCGTCACACAGAGGGAGGAGAAGGCAAAACTCCCCAGTAACCAACAACATCAGTTGTTCTTACCAAGTGTGCTTTGGATTCAATATTGTTAATAAGCTTGTCTCAGTTTTTATATATAAATGCCCTCGGGCAACTGCAGCCATTCCTTGTTTAAAAATAAATATATTCTGGAATATTGCTAGTAATTTACAAAATATTGCTGGGAAAGTGGCAGGTGCAAAGTACTCTGCTCAGAATCTTGGTTTTGCCACCTGCTTATGAACTGGGATAACCCCTAAATCTCTCTGTACCTCAGTTTCCTTATTTTGTAAAACGGGTATAGCTACGCCTGTAAATGACAAGAGTTATTATCAAGACTTATTTTGTGCCAGACAAATTTTCTGTTCTAAATGAACTGATTGTGAATAATTTGCAAAGACAGGCCACTCCTTTAGCAGGGGAGAATGGTGCAGAATAAGTGCTCAGTAAATGTTTTCTACTGCTGTTGCCCTTATCTCTAAGTATAGACCCGGAGTTCAGCAAACTGGTTTTATATAGGGCCAGATAGTAACTGTTTTAGGATTTGTGGGCCAACGGTCTCTGGTAGAACTATTCAACTTTGCGATTATAGTCTAAAACAGCTGTAGACAATACATAAACATTTGTGCATGGCTGTTTTCTAGTAAAACTTTATTTACAAAACCAGGTGGAGGGCCAAATTTGGCCCAAGGGGTGTGGTTTGATGTCCCCAGGTCTGGGTAATTTTGGGTTATGTTTGCCTGAACTCAGGGTATCCGTCATAAGCATCCATGGAAAGGTGAGCCTTATTTGCTTTGGGCAAACACAGGCCAAGAAGCGAGAAATCACCAATGTACTGACTTCTGCTCTTAGGGCTTATGTTAGTCTTCTCCACCAGGTTGGTCTGCTTGCTCCATATGTCTACAGACCTTCACATTCCAGATGGTTTTGTGGAATA